ATTGCAGCCAGTAAAGCTTAAACGGTAAATTGATTATATTCTTAAGGACTTTGTAAAGCCAGTCAATGCACTTGAATTTGATCCTATGGGCACTGGAGAGCCAACAAAGAGTTTTATGTAAGTGAATGAAATGATTTGATTCAATTTTTTGGAAGGTAAACAAAGACAACATTGATAATAAATGAGAAGAGACATTAGCGTAATCCTAGAAAAGATAATGGGATTGATTTTAGGCAGTCATACTAATGATAAAATAAAAAAGGGATAGATTGCCAAGACATTTCAGGAGTAAAAATCCCCATGTTTTGCAGAGCCAGTGGATCTATTATAAAGCAATATGAGAAAGAGCGAGAGACAGAGGATGATTTGGGCTTCTGTCCTGGGAATGACGAGTAGTTATAGTTTCTGTTTATATGGCAATCACAATTTTAAAAACACTTTTATTTATACTGCTTTTCATGTTTTCAACAACTTTGTGACAAATTAGTATGTACCAGGGGTGACCCCCAGATACAGAATTTATTCATTAAAAAAATCGTGTGTTTATTCATACACGTTTAAATTTCAGTAACCTTCAAAGTACACTCCGTTTGATGCAATATGCCTATTGAGATGTTTTTTCCACTGCTGAAAACAGTTTTTGAATTTGTCAACTTTGATACCTTTTAGTGTTTCTGCCATTTTTTGTTTCACCTCTTCCATATCGGCAAAATGTTCCCCTTTGAAGACTTTTTTCATTCAGGGCAACAAAAATAAGTCACTCGGGGCAAGAGCAGGTGAATAGGGAGGTAGTGGTATGGAGGTCATGACAGTTTTGGTCAAAAACTGCTCAACACTCAGTGCAGTGTGTGCATGTGCGCTTGTAAATCATGCATCATGAAATGGGCAAATGCTTGAAAGTGTTTTAAAGAAAAATCACTGAGGCCGAACAGAGCCTCTCACAATAACACCCCCTGGCACACTGATACAGATGGGTTCCTAGAACACTCACCCAATGGGAGAAGCCTGTACTACAAGGCGCCCAACCCTCCAGAATATAATTCTGTTTTTTGGGGAGGTCCCACTCATATTAAAAAACAAATAAGATTCATGCAGTAATCTTAATAAGGCTCTGACCACTACTACTAAATCATGTCTTTGTGAGATGCTATATGTAATTATCTTTTTTCCTTTAAGAAGTAGAGGTTGACTTGTGTTCCCTCTTCAAAGATACTTATAAATACCTATATTGCCTTCGATTCTCCCTATGGTACCAGATAAAAGCTCTTTTACAAAGAGTTCATTTAATAGGCATGTGTAGTAGGTGATGTCTATGTGTCTCTGAAAAAATTATATAGTACTTGTTAAACATTTGAGCACATGAATCATATGAGGATTCTGATAAAATGTAGATTCATATTCAGTGGGTCCCAGATGGAACCTGAAATTCGATATTTCTAACAAACCTTCCTACTGTCAATGCCACTAGTCCATGGAACACATTTTGATTCAAAGTACCTTTGCTTAAGCAGGTGTGCCATTCTGAAGCCATTACAGTGTATTCGATTTCAATTTTAAAATCCCGGTCATTTTCTCATAGGTTTCAAGGTGGACATAGTTGCTGCCAATTGCATATGTATTTCCTTTTGGTGATAGAACTGCATTCCACTTCTGTCTCAGTTGGCAAGCATTCCCCTGAAGGTTTCTAAATATGTCAGTGGTCTTTTTCAAAAAGAGATTTCATAAATAATCACCTCATTGTTACTTATTCATTAATAGTTCTTTTACTGACCACTTGGATGCATGTCTCTTAATTTTGCAAGTATTTTATAATTAATATTAGTTTCAAAGCATATTAAATACTTCTTCTGGCAATAACATCTACTTGGAAGCAGAATCCTTAACTCTCCTCACTCAGTTCTTCTTTTTTTAGATTCTATATTATTCTTAATTGTCAAAAATTCTACAATATAATCCATGTCTGTTGAAAGACATCTGAAATCATTGACATGCCTCAGGGTTTTAAGATTAAGCAACTATCAAATCTGCCCTCATGTAATTGGGCTTGCTTAGGTCTATCTCAGGAATTCCTCCTTTCTTTCTCCTCCTCTTTCCCTTTACTTTGTCTTACAGGAAACCTATTTATGGTTCAGGCACGTTTCTCAAGGGACACTTTTTTATTTGCATGGAAGTCCTGTAAGTCAAACCCCAAGAGATAGACAGTACCTCTGTGTGAATAACAAAAATTTAACCTTGAAAGCAATAGTTGATATTTGTGAGATTCTATGCAAGAATCCAGCTACCCTGAAGAAAAAAGGCTCATGTTCACTGCTTAGGTATTAAAAGTCCTATTGTCCCTATACATCAGACAGCAGCTATATGACATATGTTGAAAGGTATAGGATAATCAGTGCTGTCACTAATTTCTTGAAAGGTCTTGGTATCTTTGAGCTGGATGACTCACAAAGAATATGTTGTCTAATCTATTCGATTCAGAAATCTTTAATACAGCATGCTTGAGATTTATTCTAGGTACCCTGAATCCTTTCTAAAGAGGTGAGACCCTACCTGGACAGCTCCAGTTGTTAAACATCTACAGCTGTGAGTGGTCGTGTGCATTTCCTCCAGGTGCTCCGATGTTTCACACTATTTCTAATTACTTCCTGACCTTATATGGTATTGTCTTTTTAGGTCTACAGTGTAAAGTTTTATTTACAGCTTTCATTATTGCATATTGAACTCTCTTAAAATGACTACATTTTAGTGAGAGCTTGATACTCATCAAAATATAGCAAAACCTGAACTTTGACACATGCTATCACCATCTCTGCATCTTTGTCACTATACTTAGAACTTCAGTGACACTTCTGATTTCAAACATTTTATTGTTCTCAAAGAATTTTATGAAGTCAGCCTCACCATAGAATATGTGCCTTTCCCATTTGTAGATGCACTAATAAAGAGTTAAACAATATGCATCAGGCCACACATATTGCTGGAAATCCAACTGGGAATATAGCCCAGGAAACTTGGCTCTCAGTCTGGTGTACTTCTAACCACATGACCATCATTTCTGATGACTGTAAATTCATGTAGTAGTCCTCCTGCAGAAGCACATAGGAGACAAGTACATCAGCTCATTGGACAAGTCAGTGCATTGTTTTAAATGAGTTTCTAAACTGATTAGTATGTATTTTCCAAGATTCCTGTTGCCACTTGCTGTGAATGGGCTACATTTGTTAATGTTACCAGGGCACATGGCATTTTTTAGGGTCCTTTTATTACAGATTGTCCTAATATTCACATTCTTGGCTCTTGCCTTGCCGGACACAGATTTTGCTCCAATGGCATCTCACTAAGAAGGCACTCCTGACTGTTGGCGGCTGCTACTGCTGCTGATGTTAAAATCTTCATGGGCTCTCTGCTGTGCCCTCCAACATGCTTCCTGAGAAGCTGAGCCACTCTCTGCTTAAAATTTCAACTATATGCTTCTAAACCTGAAACAGATGTTATCTTGGCTGCTGTAAATTGTCATGGGCTTGTCTATTTGCATTACACATGAGGCAGGTAAAAGGCAGGTAATTTGCTACCTCACATTGTAGGAAAAGAAAAAGGAGAGAGGGAGGATGCAGAGAGAGACAGACAGAGAGACAGACAGAGAGACAGACAGAGACAGACCAAGACATGCAGAGACAGACAGAGAGAATAAATATAGAAATTAGAGGAATAAAGCCACATGAACGGAGAACAACCACATGAGCACCTATTATCCTAATACCATATGCTATAGTTTGGCTACTACTGATTTCCCTGGCATCCCTCTTGAATCATATTTGTGGCCACCCAGATTAACTCTGTGAGCTGATCTTTTGATTTAATATTAGCATGCTCTTTTCAGATCTCATGTCACTTAATGTCTTTAAAAAAGTACTCCTTATTACCCAATCATCTGTATTTTCAAGAACTCATATTCTTTTTTTTCTTCCTTCTTTTTGTATGGGAACCAGGAACTAGAAACTATTAAATGAGGGAAATTAACCACTCACAGAAAAGGTGAAGCCCAAAGAAAAAGGGGTTTGTCTTTTATGGTTTGTATTTTGTAAGCTGTGGGTGTGACTCAATTTCCTCACCACCCACATAAAAAAGGTTGCCACCCAATCACTGTTTTTTTCTTCTATCCCAAACCCCTCCCCTTTGATTTTGGCTAGGAGAGACCCTAAGAAAGACTGCCCTTTCTGGACGTTGCCGACTGTGACATATAAAAGCTGTTAGCTGCTCCTGTAGCCAGCAGCATTCAAACCTTGCAGACTTTTGCTCTCTGAGAGTTTGTAATAAGACACACTCCTCTTACAAGAGTTCATACTACAACCTAGCAAAAGCAAAGAACTTAAAATTTTTGGAAGAACAAAACATTCATTTTGGCATTGTACAGAGGTAAGCTATTTAGCTCAACAAGTTTATTTTGCATGCATTGACTTTAAAGTAGTTCAATTTTTTTTTTTTTTTTTTTTTACTTTTAGAAATGAGACTGGATGATTATGGCTCTTTTGTATGTTTCTATCACTTGGTGTCCATATGTGTCTGGGAGACATTATCAGCACATTTTCTGTTGTTACCTGTGATGCATTTTTTCCTCTTCGCTCTCAAGATAATAATTTTAACTCCTAAAGATTTCCCTCTGAGAATACATATGCAGTCATGCATTTTGTGGTTCAGGCATTTGGGGCAAGGGGTTCGCATTCATTTTAGGGTTAGTAGTCATGCTGTTAATTTTCCTTTCCTCTCAGGAATCTACCTCATAACACCAAGTAAAATGTAAGAGACTACTGTAGATTGTCTCCTAGGCTTGAGTTCAGCATGTATTTGAATTTTTTGGAGGAAATCAAGTGAAGGAATGCTCCCAAATAATAACTTGTAAACCCATACACTCTGGCCCATTTTTTTTTTCCTTTCATAGACCCTAATTCTACCTTTCTAATTTAAAGCAAAGTGAACTTGGTGGCCTCTCCTCCACCCTCAAAATGACAGCAATCTCTGCCATCAGCAGCGCTCTCCTGTTCTCCCTTCTCTGTGAAGTAAGTCCTGTTGTCTTACTCAATTCCACTGACTCATCCTCGCCAACCAATAATTTCACTGATATTGAAGCTGCTCTGAAAGCACAGCTACATTCTGCGGACATACCCAAATCCAGGCGGAAGCGCTACATTTCGCAAAATGACATGATCGCCATTCTTGACTATCATAACCAAGTTCGGGGAAAAGTGTTCCCACCAGCAGCTAACATGGAATATATGGTAAGAGGAATTTTTCTTTAAGTTCTGAGTAATAAAGTTTTTTAAATTGTACATTAGAAGAAATTTAAAGGGTGTTTATATGTTATGAGATGGGGGGGTGCTTTTTACACATTTTAGCTCAGAAAAAGTTTTTGTGTGCCTGGTAAACTGAAGCACTGTTCCACTATAGAATTAAGGGGGAGGGGGTCTATTTATCTTTTGTGAATTCTGTAACCATCGATGAATCATGCCTTATATAAGAAACATAGGTAAAAAGTGAGGTGTGTTTGACTGTTTACACTTGGAATTCACTTTTAAAAAAATTCACATGGAAAATGTTGGGGGGCTTTGTTTATCTAATAGTCATATTTATCAGTTAAAACATTTCTTGAAAATGATTTTTTAAATTATAAGTTTTGTGTGCATGATTTATTCTCTGGGTAGGTGTCTTTTCTTTTTCTTGGACAAAGATCTTTCTGAACTAATCCACTTGTGTTCTCAGAGAACATGCCGACTTTTTCCTCCTTGTGATTTAATGCTTTGTCACTCAGATAACAGTGAGTGCACTTAACGTGTGTGCTGTTCCAACTTGCTATGAACACATCCTCTGCGCTCTATTAAAAATAGGCTCCGTTTGTTTAAATTATTTCACTCAGAAATTTTTTTAAAGTAGATTTGAAAGAGCATGGCTTGGAGTCTATTTAAGGCAACAAAGACTACCAACCAATATGGTATTTCTAAGATGGGAGGGGGTGGCAGTACCACTAACAACTTTTCCTAAGTGCTGACCTGAAATTTGGGGATTTCTGTCAGATTATAAATTAATCTATTTTATTTAAATAAGCTTTTTAAGTTTGACTAAATACAGATATCAGTGTCTCAGGGAAAACAAAGACTAGCCAAATGTAAGAGAGTCATAATTCATAGAAGTGTATGGTAATTTAGACTCTATAAAAATGAATGTTCCTAGGATTTTTAAAGAAAGAGGAAAAGAATATGTAACCAGCCTAATATATAAGGAGTTATATAGTCTCCTGATTTAGAATATGAGTTCTGGCCCTGGTCGGATAGCCCCAGTCGTTTGGAACGGCATCCCGTACACCAAAAGGTTGATTCCTGGTTGGGGCACACACCTAGGTTGTGAGTTTGATTACTAGTCGGGGTCCATATGGGGGGCAACCAATTGATATTTCTCTCTCACATCTTTCTCTCTTTTTCCCTTTCTAAAAATCAATAAAAATACATATCCCCAGTTAAGGATTAAAAAGCATAAGAAATGAGCTCTGGAATTTAAATGCTTGCACTAAAGCCCCAGTCCTGGAATACAAGCTGAGTGAATTCATGACCTCATTCATTTTCATCACCTCTAAAATGAAAATAAAGATGTATCTGCCAAACAGAGTTGTTATGAAGACTGTATAAGTGGAATGGCAGAGCAATTAGACTAGAGCTTATTCCAAAATAGATGTTCAATAAACATTAGCTTTAATGGGTTTCTGTGAACTTCTTGTGAAAAGCTCCCAGTGAAAACTATTCAAGATCTAAGAGCAGAAGCACTTGTACACATTGAAGAGGTGTTTCTAGACTGTGATGTATAGACATAGAAGAGAAACAAATGTTTTCAAAATTACCATAAATTATAGAGTAATACGCATAAGATTCCATGTGAGCTTAGAAAGGTAAAATATCCAGGTTGCAGACTTAGAGAGTACTTCCTAGAAGGGATCACATCACTGTGAGACTAAGGTGATACTCCAGACAACTAAACTGGCTTTGGAGACAAGCTCTGCTGGACTGCATTCCTAATTCCTAGCTCCTTACTTTGTGGATAAGTTATTTAAGGTTCTGAGACTCAGTTTCCTTATCTCTAAAATGGGAGTGAGAATTTACATAACAACATGCCAGTTATATAATGCAATTCACTGTTTTAATGGTATGGAGGGAAGAAGTATCATCATGAGTAAAGGCATAGGTGGGGTATCGCAAAGCAGAAATGACATTGAATAAAGCCACATTTTTCTAGTTATATCTTTCCCCACTGATCAAGAATTAACTCATTCCACATGTATTTATTTAAATGCTTTTAGGTGCCAAGGATTTGGCTAATTGTTTCCACAGATGACCTCATTTGATAGCTCACATTTTCCCTATGAGATTAAGATTGTGATCCTCATTTTACAAATAAAATCACTGAGACCCAGAGAAGTAAATTGATAGGCCAAGGTGCCATGGGTCATTATCCATATGGACAAGATCACTGGAATTAGAATTTAGGTCTGTGTAATTTCAGTGCCCATGCTTGTATTGGCAGCACTCTTCGTTTAGCTCTAGCAAATGTTCCATTGGAGAAACACCCCCAGAGGTGTCAGGATTCCTTCGTTTCCTTCTTTAAATTGCCAACTGAAATCCTATAGCATTCATATTCTATTTGTCATTCTTCTTATTTGTTTTTCAAATACAAGAGCTATTACATACAATTTATTTTGTAAGAACCAGATATAGCATTGGTTAGATAGTAGGAGCTCTATATCTTTTAAAATTAATGAGAAATAGCTGCTAAAACCCTTAAGTCCTATAAAGTAACACATGACTGTCTCAAATTATCATGTAAACCCTGCATATGGTTCCTTTGCACAAGTATTTATTATTTTAATATATATCAAGCACTTATCATACATTGGGCACTATTCTAAACATAAAGGAAACATTTATGAATAAAATAGACACTCCTTGGCCATTTAAGATGGGGAATTAGATGACAAAAGAGATAAATAAAGCACATAGTACAATGAAAAGATAATAATGATGAAGAAAAATGAAGCAGATTGTGGTGAGTTTGAAAAATTTAATAAGGTAGAAAGAGAAGAGCTCAGTGAGAGCATCCTAGAGAGAAGGGAGAGAGTGAGCCACATGGATCAGTGAGCAGAGACCATGCCTGGCAGAGGGAAGAGCAAGAAAGGGCAAAGGCCCTGAGGCAGGAGAAGATTGGCTAGTTCAGTTAGAAAAATATGCTTAATGTAGTGAAATTGTAGAAATCCCTACATATAAACTGAACAATTGAAATAATTCATTGGATCCCTCATGAAAACTCAGAAAAACTCTGAAGGAAGTACAATATAAAAGGTAGCTTGTAGGCCACAGCACAGATGTTAAGTGACTAATCTCTAGTCCAGGTGAAAAATACAAATCTTAATTGTACACAATTACTTTTATTTTAATTTATTCAGCATTGATTTGAATTTTGAGCAATTTAAAAATGAGTTCAGTTTGTAACTCCACTATGTATCTCAAAAACTTGAGACACTTAGCTCACTATGGCCACCAGCCATGTGTACAAATTATTCCCTTCAGTGAATGATATCACTACAGGAGCCTCATGGAAGATGGACTTCAGCTCAGGGCTTTTCCTAATTGTACCAGACTGATTTGTAATCTCTTTCATCCCCAGCGTTCTTCTCTGAACATTTCCCCATGCCACTTCCTCTCTTTTAAATGTCACCTCATTAAGGCCTGCCATTATGTATAATCTTACTGTTAAAATTTTAAGCAGAATGTCTGTCCTTTGTTGATATTTCTTATGGTCACAACCACATCTGATTTTTTCTTCTTTTGAAGCACCATAACCTATACATTTATTATACTGCTCTCATCAAAATCAAACTAGATTTACAGTTATTTGCATATTTCTTGCAAACTTCTTAATCTTAAACTTCAGGTACTATGTCATTTTTGTGTGTTTATTTTTAAGTAACATTAATTTTGATATGACAGTCAGCCCTCCATATTCATGGGTTCTCCAACTGTGGATTCATCCAACAACAGATCAAATGTAGTCTGAAAAAATCTGTCACATTGTTCTTGACATGTACCATGTAGTCAGACCTCAAACATATAGACTTATAGACTTTTTTCTTGTAATTATTCCTTAAACAATACACTATAACAACTATTTACATAGCACTTACATTAGATATAATAAGCAATCTAGAGATGATTTAAAATATAAGGAGGATGTATGCATGTTATATGCAAATACTAGACCATTTTATATAAGGGACTTGAGTATCCACAGATTTGGGGGTCTTGGAACTAATCCCACACAGATAGCAAGGGACAACTATATTATTTACATTTTAGTATAAATTTTCTCATCATTTATAATAATGTTTTATCCCATGCACTCAAAATCAAAGTTCTTTTATAAATCCAAAAAAGTAATAACATAGATAGAGCTTAAGATATGCAAGTCAGACTTCTTTACTCTGGCTTCTGTGCTCCAATTAGTTTACTGACAAATTTCCAGAGCTCCTTGGACACCAGCTGCTTTTCATTCTTCCTAAGGGCAGCTTAAACCGTGACTCTAAACCACAAACCACACTAGTTTCTTAGAATAAGAATTATCCCCAAAAGAATGAAATTGTAAGACTCACACATGGAGTAAAATTTGTAAGATATTTTTTGAATCCAAGTCAATTGAATAAATTTAAAAAATTTGAAGTCCTTCCATGAGAATATGGGATCCAAAGATAGCAGAAATCTTTGTCTTTAAAGTGTAAACAAAACAGTAAAAAAGAAAACAAACAAGGGAAAAATTCACTAAGCATATAATTCAGTATAATACCCTGCTGCATAAGATTGATGTAATAAAAGAGGTCCAGATGACAACCATGGAGAAGTCAAAGAAAGAAATAATAATCTCTAGTTGGCAAAATCACAAAAGGCTTCTTGGAGGAGGGGCATTTGAGATTAATGCTCAGGAAAGGGTAGGGTTGGCTGTTATGATAGGTAAAGCAAGGCATGAACAAAATTTCCAGGAGAGAAAAAGCATAGTACATCAACCATATTTTTGAGGAGTTTCAGAGAAGATTGAGGATCACCTAATACAAATGCATTAGGGAGACTGGAGGTTTAGAGCAGAGGCAGAGTTTCATTCAAAAAAAAAGATCCTGGCAATTGATGGAGTTCAGAGTGGCAGTGAAAGTGACAAGCAAGGTAGCAACCACAGAATCAGTGATGCCATT